TACCCAATCTCGAGGGTTGGCACCCCCGACATTTGAACCCGGGACCTTCGGTCACTGCGTTAGAGACGCTGCCGCTAGTCCACGGGTCCCCTTATATGTAATAACTTATATTTCATTTTATCATTCTCGTCCATTTTTTCTGACAATTTACAATTTAAATATAAGGTCAGGTGTGGTACCTTGGATGATACTGCTTTTGTTTTTCATTCTGCTCTCAGGGAGCCTAACACCAGTCGCTGTGCGTGTGCGTATGCATTTCTTTACTATTCCTCCGCCTTAAATATCGTTTCCTGGCCCGTTCTTGTAAGTAAAACATGTGAGTGTACCTCTCGAGTACGGATCGCTTCTTGGCTTGAAGACTAAGTTTTCTTCCACACACAGTACGTCCAATCTGGCAAGTAGAAATATCATCTTCAACCTAATGGCTGTTGAGTGCTCCAATTTTCCTTATTTTCCCCGAACCTCTTTTCATTTTACATTGATAAACTGAGATCTTCTAGCATTTTGATATGACATTTGGTCCCTCTTAAAAATGAAACACATCTCCCGTTTCTGAAGGATGGTATAGATCGTGTATCTGCCTGGTCATCGGAAAAGACATCTGCTATTCAGAAGGGTCTGTCTAGTATGCTTTTCGCCTTCTATCCTCCCCTGTTCTTGAGCTTTTCTACATTCTTTCCAATAAATATTAGCTCTTCGATATGTAAGAGTCGCCGCGTCCTGAAATCTATCATTCCTTCCTCATTTTGAAAAACTTACCAAAATTCGTCAACTCCTTTATTGTACTCATCAGTTACTTTCCTATCACAACCCAGCTCTCTAATCTGGAGAGTTGTATATACATGCATTCTTCCCTGCATTCCTTATTGTTCTCGTGTTGCTTTCCTGCTCCTACTCATTTTATAACGCGTCAGCCAGAGGCTCTCTTTGATGCCAATATTATGTCATTCTAATTGATATAATACAAAAAATCTCAGAACGGTCAAGCAGGTTGCTAACCGAATTCTGAATACTTTCCTCCATCAACCTACTCTCGGTCAATATCTGCAATACGCCGTGGCCTCCGGCATATCTCTTGCCTTATCTAGACAAATGAGCTTTCCGTATTACCACTTACTGAACGAAACCTTACACGTAAAATTACTGAACTACAGAAGCTGAGACCTGAGCTTTCCATATAATAATGATACGGTTTTATGTTAACTCATTCACTTTCTTCCAGTCTGTTAATTTGTACCATAGTTACGAATGGAGCATGTTTTGCTGAAAATTCTCGAATAGTACTGTCAAATTACGGGTTCTTCCTTTGTTTCTTGTGTTTTTCTAGATCTTCTGAATCGCCCTTCTCGAAACTCAATTTATTCTATCGAATAGCAGTAGTGTAACGACCATTTACCCCGACTGTCAGAACACCGTTCACCAGTAAGTTGCGGTTTTGAGGATTACTTTGCAATTATTTCCAATATCCTGCCGGTACTTGTGCAAATCTATTATTTTCTTCACCTTTGAACGCGGATTAGTGAACTCGATTTAGTGGTTGTAAATAGCAAGATGGAAGTAACTGTGTATTTAAGAATGTGACGCACGTCGTACTGATGTAAAGTAGCAATAGTATAAAACGGTTTTGCCCATATCGAAGTTCTATGGTATGGCGTAACAAACCGTACTTGGGTTGTAATGCAGTATCGTTGAGTTTTTCGGGACTTTTCGAAGGCGCTTTTATCGTGCCTGTAAAGATGCTTAAGACTTTGAGTACACTGTAGACGCTACTAGAGCATTATATAAAAATATGGTGTTCATGCATGTTATAAGTGATAGAAAAAATGCAGAAGAATCGGCGCCCGCCAGGGATAGAAATCTCGACTATCCCGGCGTGCACGCGAATGGCGATAGGAGCATGTTCGTTCCAGCTTTTTAACGGCTGAGATCTATATGCGTAAACACTCAATGAATACGTATGCTTAGCAGACAGTGACTTAGCCGGTAATACAACAATAAGGTGCTATCATAGAATGGCAATCATTGGTCGCTGTCGAAGGGTACGTGCTGTTCCTGTTCGCAGGGTCAACTTCAGACAGGGTCAACCAGGTAGCTGCTTCAGACGTCCCCCATACACAAATTACCGGCAAATGCGTGCTTCTTGGGCATTCTACTAAGAGACCCGCCAATAGCAGGTGTGCTTCGCCATCTTATCCCAGCGGAAAGAATGGACAGTAGACAGAGAAAGGTACGAATGATCATGCGCTGAAACGGACAACACGAAGTGTATTGTAGGTTTGACTCTGGCTCTGTGTTAAGGTGTTTTTAGCTTATGAGTAAACCACAATCGCCCTAACTCTTGGAGCACTATATTGACCAGTGATGGACTCTCATCTTCTTGAAGGATATTACCTTGTCTGAACAACCGAGAGACGGGCTGCAATGGCTCCTCCGTGTAGATTGTGTAACACTCACGTGCATGAAACTTCACTACCTCTTACAGAAGCCTAGTAGGGAAGAGGTCCCTTGCTTGGTTTTATCGATCATTGCACCAGCATTCTCTCCGGTCGTCTTATTTCTGTCTTGCTGCGGGGACGAAGTGGATACGTGAAGAGAAGATGCGCTCGATGTTTCAAAATTCTGCCTACTGCTTTGCGTACAAGTCGCCCGTGATCTACCCACTCCGCGAGGTACGTAGTAGACGTCGTTTGCGACGGTCAAACTTTCCCTTTGTTGTCGTGGAGCTCGAATCTTTCAGCATGTGGCCGCCAAACTACTCTTTCGCCGTTACCGTGCACGTCTCGATGTCGGCTGTCAGTGGAAAAACAAAAGGCGCGAGCTAATTCTGTTGGCTTCTATCCATAAGCAGGCTGTCCTGAAATGACCTATTGCTTCTCGACATGCATTGCAGCGGCTCGGAAGTGAGACTCGGTCATTGATACTAGTAATCTTTGCGGTCAAGTTACAGTAACCTATTTCTTATTATGTAAACCTTCAAATATGTGCAGATCCAATATCGAACAGCGTGTATTTTTACCGACAGATCCCAATGGCGGTAGATTTCTCCAAAGTGACTGTCGTCTGCTTTGATGTTGATTCTACAGTATGCACTAATGAGGGAATCGACGAACTGGCAGTTCACATGGGCAAGGCTGAATTTGTCAGTGAAATGTACGACTCGCCTTTGATTATTCCTCCTCCTCTAGAACTAGAAGAGCTATGGCTGGTGAGATGGACTTTACTTCAGCGTTGGCAAAACGTCTGGATGCCTTACAACTAACAAAGTCTGATCTAGAGGCCTTCTTGAAAACATTCCCCCTATCTCTCACGCCAGGAATCAGGTGAGTCAATTTTTGGTATTTAGTGCGTTTTCTACTACTTATTTGCCAGATGTTGCGTTTCGATTGTGGGTCCCTAGACTATTTTTGACAGAGTTTGGATTATTCTTTTGGGAGCGTATGAAAGCGCATCCTTTTTCGAGTCGTCTAACAATCATCCCCTTTTAAACTGCTCGCTGAGGAGTATACTAACACATTTATTATGACAGACCACAGGAAAGTAAAGAATGACCGACTGTACATGTATTTCATCAAGATCGAGATTATCAAATAAGGGTAAGGGGACAAATGCCCCGCAAGTGCTGGACTGCACCAACAATTGTCGGGAACCTTACAAAAGTAGTGGTCTGAGAACACTTGTTTAGTGTTCCTTAAGGGACTGGAGTGAACTGGATGATACGGTTACTTACCTTAACCACCCCCCATGTTTATTCAAAACTAGTGGCTAACTTTTAATTTCGTTAGCCTGTGCATGCACAGAGCAGGCGGCTGACCAAATGGCATCGGCGCTAATGTATGGAAGCGCTTGCGAATGTCAAGAATACCTCCGGGCCCAACAACTGCTTCCATATGCCACTCTGCGTCGATTTACATCCAGGAGGCAACCTCCAGGCTTCAAGTGAGGAGCTCGAAAGACCCACAGCCACGGCAATATAGGTTTAGAAGGATTTCTTAGATCTGATGCGGTTGCGAGCAAAGCGAATACGTTGGAGAAACAGCAACATGACCCCAGGGCTTCCTCGATGAGATTTGATCACATCTTTGAGTTTGCAGTTGATGCTCCGTGCTCAGTCGCTCAAACGCGACCTGCGAATTAGCAAGTTGGCCGGCACATGGTAATCTCATCCCACAAGTGCTGTCGCCCCCTGTGGTTCACTGCTTTATTGATTTTTACTTTGCGCGTGGCTTTCAGTACAGCTACGCAGTAGATGAGCTGGGCCAACATGGGAGGCGGGAGCAGAGCGAGACACAACAGGCGTTACTGAGGCTGCGCAATCATGATAAATGCTAGATTTGGGAGTATGATGGCCTGCATAGGCGCAGGCTCATTCCGCGTCAACCACCTGCGCCCGATCCCATTTCAGGTCTTCTTGACTCCCATGACACCGGTCCCAGGAGGTTGAGAGCAGAAATTGCGATAAGTGCTACACAGGTCTACTATCACTGTAAATGTACTTACGCGCAAGTTACCGCCCCTGCGTCTATCATTCTGTGGGGCATACGGTGAATGCCGTCGAAATCGACCGTCGAACTGTCAGGTTGTAGTAGGAACTCATGGTCTGTCTTAAAAAGGCTGAAGTTGTTAGGTGTTTTGTATCTGGCTAGCTGCAGCTAGTACTTGTGCAGCAAAGTCAGCCATCCTGATATAATGCGCCAAATTATATGCGGAAAACCTATGTCTTTATTAAGTTTTATTGCCGTGTGATTACGCGCCTCATTCCTTGTTCGCCTTCG